CCCCCCCCCCCTCCCCCGATCCCCCGTTCCTGCTGCCAACAAGAGCGCGCGAGAAAGATCCGCCCGGATCCGCCGCGATCGCGATCGTGCCGGATCGCGGCGGCCGGACCGGTCTCCTCTCTATAATCATGGAAAATAAATAGCTCCCCTCCAATTAAAGAAGCGTTCAAAATTTTGAGCGCGATCGAACGCTTTTGATTCCTCTCTCGACGAGTTGTTATTATCGGCCGAGGAACCGCTGGGAATTCGTCTCTTCCGAGATTGTCTTCCCTCCGCGCTCGTTTCGGAAGAATCGTTTCTGGAAGAGGGTCGGCTTGTTGACGGAACACGCGAGGACGAAAAATGTTTTGGCGGAACCCGAAGGGGGAAACTATTACGGCCACGCTGTCGTAATTTTTGTTTAGCTAACAGTTTCCGTTCTTCCTCTCTTCGAGAGTTTCGCCGAAACTCTCCGTTTAAAGAGAAGCGAGCTATTTCTGATGATCGGGGGTGGATTGGCATCGCGGAACAAAGCGCGATCGATCTATTTGCAACGCGCGCCTTTCGCGGAATCGTCGCGGGACCGCAAGAGTTTCGGAGTCGTCGGTGCGGGATCGCCACTCAAGTCGCGATTATTTATCAATCCGCGATCAATGGAGAGACGCATATCGGCCGGGTGGACTCGGTCTAAGGCCGAAATTAGACTACGCATTGAAGATCGAGATCAAAGATCGAAGATTGAAATTTAACCAATAAACACAGAGATATTTTAGCTTCTTTTATTTCGATTGGTCGAAATTTTAATCTTCCAGCCTTCAATCTCAATAATCTTCAATGCGTAGCCCGCGATACCGACCTTAACACTTTTCAGAACGCGATCGCATCGGCAACGTCGACGGAATTATCCTCAATGGCGAACTATATTCACGGTGATGGTCAATGCACATTTTTTCATTGCCCGATTCTCAGTTCTCGAGAAAACTGGGAGAGACGCAAATACATCCGCGATGTATCGCCGATCGATCGTGTCACGCGCTTAAGTGCATCTTTCCGAGTATAGGAAGGCCATCCGTCGAACGGTAATTCAATTAGCACCTAAATGCACTGCCGAAATTTCCAGGAGGTCGAAGTCGGTTCTTTGAAAGGAGTTTAGGACGAAAACATCTATCGATCGTGTCAACGTTTCGCTAAACAGAATGTCGTAAATCAATGTTCGCATTTCTATTTGCGTCTTAATTAGCACGAAACGCGACTGTTCCGTTCTGAGTTCTATTTGAATGAATACCCTGTTGGCACAAAAATTCGTTTACACACTCGTTGTAAATAAGATGCGAACAAGAAATAATAATCGAAACCATTCTAAAAAATCGGCGTTAAATATAGAAATACATAAAGATTGACAACAAGAAATGATTGTACAAAAAGGCGTAGATAGATGATTAAAGAGAAAATATATAAAAAAAAGGATAAGATAGTAGCAAATAATATAACAGGTGCAACTACGAAGGTGACGACTACACAAGTATTTTATAGTAAAAATCAATGTTAACAAAATTAATGTAAAAAATTAATGCAAAATTAATGTAAAAAATAAGATTGACAGATTTCGTTCAGTACTGTAATTAATCTATTCAAAAGTTTCTTCTTAATATATTAAAAAAAAAGAAAATGTGTTTTTTCTCATTTTCTTTAATAGAATCATAATTCATTCATTAAATGCGAATAACGATTCCGCTGTCAATCGACATCTTTAGTAGCGTATTTAGCGTTAAACGTAGCCGTCCCATTCCGATTGCCCCTTGTCCATTATTAAGATGCTATTCGATGTTATCACAGGCTGTGTCGCAGCACTCGCAGCCAAGTTTTAACGCTAACCGCGCGTCGTAAGTGCGGACCGTTTGATATGGCAAGCGCAGAGCGCCGAGGCTCGGTTACGCGAGCGTGTCTCTCGTGTGCTCGCTAATTCCTGCAATAACCGAAAATAATAATACGGTAGACGACACCGTAAATGGTAGCGATAGCGCAATAACGGCGCGATGCCAATTGACAGCGCTCTGTTTCGATAACGCGGATATAAACGCACCGAAGGAGGTCATCACCGCATGCGATCGATTTTTCGGAAATGCCGGACGATTGAATTCCAATACTTATCCATTCCAATCATCTTGCCTAATTGAATCGATGAGATTTCGTTTTAATTACATTTTTTTTTAACGGAAAAGCGCTAACCGAAAGAAATGCTATTGTTTATGCTACTCGTTACATTTAAAGATTGAGTCTAAACGATTAAAAATCATGACATTACAGAATTAATCGCGTTAACTATTTTTTTATCAAGATATTTCAGACCAGTATTATAATATGTTATAAAATATTTTAATCTGTGGGTTATTGCGTCACGCGACATGTAAAAGGCTGACCTTCTGCGAAATTCGATTCCAGTTCCATCGAAGCCGCACGAGCAATTTTAACCCTTCCCGTGAGTGATTCGAACGTAACATACATAAATTGATTTTTTCATTTAAAATGCGAACACACGTTTCTTCTTCCGAAACGTATGGCAGAAATAAAATATAAAATTGAAAAGGTATTGTTTTTTACACAATAAATAAATATCATTCAAAGTGTTTTAAGATGCTTATTACTTTCAATATCATTAACTTACTTATCAATTTAATTTACAATATTGCTATCTCAATTTCACTTCAGGATTACGTTTCAAGACTCTACATAAAAAAAAAATCAGCGTACAATTTACAGAACTAGATATTCATATTGAAATATTATTAATTATGAACGCTAAGGTTTAGTTTGGTCCGAATAAGGTATTATTCGTTGTGTTATTCACATATCTGTTTAATGTCACTTCATTGTTATGAAAAAGTAAAGCCTCACATCCAAAATACATACATCCCGCAAGCCATTCCCAAAATCATTGCCGGTTCCTCTTGTTCGTGTTTATTTCATATTTTATCTCACGTCGGTACACAATTCTTTTCGAACGGCAGAAAGATTTATCCGCATAATTAAAGAGTTACACGCTTGCACCTATGGGACCACGGCGGGCGAGGTGGAGGGGAACGGAGGGGCTTATACTCTAGTAGTAATAGAAAATGATTGGAAAGTCTTCCTCCGCGCGTCGTGTGAACGTGGTGTACACGACGCGGACACGTAGGTAGAGATACCAGGCTCGCTGCCGCCTTCTACGAAGGCGATTGGCGTTTGTTATTGAAGTTATTCCATCGCCTCGGGCACAGAACGCGAGAGGCGAGGCTGCTGATCGTGAGTGCCAGCAGCAGCGGCAAGTACGCCTGTCCCTGGATGACAAACATCCACATTTCCCTTGCGAGCTGGAATTTTTATTAAATCCGATTACGCCCGTCTCCACGTACGCGGTGTCCTGAGCGTACCATGCGGTACTCATTCATTTTCCGCTTTACGCGATCAGTCTCTAACGAGAGTATACAGAAATTTATTATTTCAACTGATACAGCAAAGAAAGACTCGATTTACAGTTTCTTCTTTTAATCTTACACACTCATCGATACCTTTATGATTAACGGCTAATTGAAATCCGTGAGATGGCTAAATATTGTTGTTACCTAAACCTAAAACTACATTCTTTCCTTATCTTTTGTATCATAAATGCCTCACACAAGCCTTTCAAATTAGACACTTTACACTAATTTACATTAATATGACATTTATCCAATTATTGCACAATTTTCGCACAAAATTCTAATCTTTTTCCCATTCTCGTGTATCTCTCTTAATAACTAATTTTCCATACTTCGATTGATGGTCCATTTTATTGTACATCTTGCATTTTTACTTATTAGTAATTGAAAGTATTCCGACTTCCAATAACTCCTAGTCACATAAATAACAGTTTTGAGTTGTTAGAAGACTGTTAGATATTTATATAAATAATGGTTATAGTTTAATTTCTTTAGACATGATATTTGATATCATTATTTATGAATATCCCCACTGTACTGTCTCGAGGAAAGAGAGAGAGAGAGAGAGAATGGAATTTTATTTAAACCAACTGCAAAATTCTAAAGAACAAATTTATAAAACTGGTCGAATTGGTTTTAGAATCAACTTAATTGATGGACAGATTTACAAACCACAATCTTTAGGACTCCAATGGGCTCCCCACTATCACTGATAATTGCAGATGTGGTAGGACTTGGAAAGTAGAATGCTGGGTAGAGTCTAAACTTTCATATATAGGTTTATTATAGACATGTTGACAGAGTCTCGTTATGGTATCTATCAGTAAAATTGATAAAGTTTTAGTTTACAAATTCAACAATTTTCACCTCAGATTACAGCGGAAAATAAACTTTTTAGATACCACAATAACGATCGAAAATAAATTAAAATTTGATTGGTACCAGGAGCCAACATTTTCCGGGAGATTCTGAATTTTTTGTCCCAGCACCCTATATTAGAAAAAAGAGAAATAATTTTTGGGTTGGTCGAAAGCAGTGTTATTGGTACATTCAGAATTTCAACAAAAAAATTTGGAATTCGTTTATCAAAGTTTATTAGATAACAACATTACCCGTTAGAATTTATTTCCAAAATGCTAACGAATAGAATTTTATATTTGAAAAATAAAAGAATTCTAAAACAAATATAAAATAAAATCAATGCATTTCAAAAATTAATTAATAATTTATCATTTAATACGTACA